CCTTAACGGGATACTTGCTCTACCCCTCTCATGGCGATCCTGGTCTGTTTAGTTAAGTCATATAGTTAACGAATATGTGTGAAAAATTTAAATTAAATGTTGAGCCCCTTATAAGTTTATTGTGCAAGTGGTCACCTCCATTTTGGCGTGTGTTCAGTTATGGTTATAGGTTCTATTAAGTACAAAGAGGGGAATGCATACATCTTCTAAATAAACAAACTAAGGTGCAACTAGGCACAGGTGGTTTCCCCCCTAAGTAGTACTTCAATTGAAAAACAACGTTGTTCCAAGTGAGCAGATGTTATTTGCCTTTAAAGCGACGTTTCGGCTCCGCATGCAAGCATTTTTATTTTTTTTGCTTGGAAAAGTTTGGGATTTTTCTGAGCCAAAACTTTGCTTTAACTGCAAATAAAGTCTGCTTACATTTTTAAATTGATGGTTATAGGTTTTCTGTGTTTCTCTGGGTACTCATGTTGGTGTATTTAAATATTGACATCAACAGGCTTGAGTCTCTTTTCAACCTAGATTACAATGTAACCATATGTAATTACCTTCCCATGTGGATAGTGCTTTTTTTTTTTTTGTATCATAAACTTAGGGAATATTCATATTTTTTGTTTTAATGGACTCTTGGGGATATTTAGAGGATGGATTTTAAGTTTCCCTGTCCCTATTTTCTGCATGTGTTTCACAAGACCTCTGAACATGTCCTGTGGTATTTGGCAGCAGATCCCTATAAATCCTGCAGGTTGTGAGGTGGGGCCTCCATGGATTGGATTTGTGGTTCCAGCACATCCTACAGATGCTCAGTAGAATTGAGATCGGTGGGATATAGAGACCAAGGCAACACCTTGAACTCTGTCATGTTCCTCAAAACATTTCTGACCAATTTATGCAGTGTGGCAGGGTGCCTTATCGTGCTAAAAGAGGCCACTGCCATCAGGGAACACCATTACCATGAAGTGGTGTACATTGTCTGCGACAATCTCTAGGTAGGTGGTACGTGTCAAAATAGCATTCACATGAATGCCAGGAACCAAGGTTTTCCATCAGAAAATTGCCTCAGCCAGCCTTCTTTCTTCTCATAGTGCATCCTGCTGCAATCTCTTCCCCAGTTAGACAACACACATGCAACTGCCCATCCGCCTTCTCTAAATGAAAATGCGAATCATCAGACTAAGCACCCTTCTTTCATTGCTCCATGGTCTACTCCTGCGATGAATCTCGGGGACCCCTGGGTGCCCATTTCCTGAATTTGTTCACTGGCCAGATTCTGCTGAATTGTGTACTCACTTTTTAATTTGTGACAGCGGAGTACAGTTAATGAATAATGAGCTTTTGTTTATTTTACAGTTTTGTCTATATAAAAATGTATATATATTTTTTTTTTCACTAATATAAATAGATTTTGCTTTGTGAATATGGTTTCTTTCTTGCTTGACTGCCTGAAGACGTATACATTAATCATAAGAAGACACAATTAATTATTAATCCTCTGCTGGCTTGTCTACCAATGTGTTGGTTTTATCTTTTCTAGAGTACAGAACTCGGTCTCTGGGACAATGAATTCTAAAATAGTTGCTCATGTCATAGCTTTGGCCTTGCATATCTGTGACTTTGAAGTAGACCTTACGCTTTTACAGAGGGACATGAAGCTGACTGAGAACAGGTGAGGCGGAGTGACTATGAATCTAGAATTTCCTGTTGAAAAATGTTTTTGAGGAGCAGGCACTTGGATCCTACGAACAGCATTGACTTATTTCAATAGTATTGAGGAACATATTAGCAGCGTTTTTGCATTTGACAATCCTAAACCTTCAATAAAAAAAATCCCCATTACATGTAGTGCTTGTACAAAAATATGTTCTAACTTAGAGGTAATAAAAAGAAAAAAAGCTTAACCATGGGCATCTTTGTGGTTAAAGGACCACTATAGGCACCCAGACCACTTCAGCTCAATGAAGTGGTCTGGGTGCCAGGTCCATCTAGGGTTAACTCTGCAGCTGTTCCTGGTTTAGTGAAAAGTATAAATCAAGTCTTTGTCACAATTTAATTATTTATATATCTATTTTCCTTCCTTTGCAGGATTTTGGAAATAGCCAAAGCCATGGGGTTGAAGATAACCAAGAGACTGATGTTCTCTAGTAATGCACTTGGTGAGACACACAAAATTGGAGTATTGACTCTTCCTCTGACCGTGTACAAGCCACCAGGAGGAATAAAGAAACGAAAAAAAATGTGAAAAGGAAAACTGTTCTTTTATGTAGATTTGTACATTTAAATTTTCAGTGTGACTTCATTAAAATATGAAAAAATGCACTACAATCTTTTTTCTAGTTAATATGATAATTTACAGGAGCAGAAACTAACAGCATGTTTTTCTGTCCGTAAGCAGAAATGGATTATTCACACATGCATATATATGCCTAATGCTATTGGAGAAAGTATATTCCCTAGTATAAAAAGTTTGTGGCTTTTTGAGGTTTCTCTCCTTATGCTTAAAAAAAGAACACGCTAAGTACGGTATTGACTACAGCTTATTGTAGTGGGTATAATGATAAAGAAATGTATTCAATGAAGACCAGTGTTCAGCTCTGCAAATGCTTTTTTGAAAAGCATAAACTTCTGCAGCCATTGAAATTTACCTCAGTTTGACATTCCTGCCTCAGGTCAACTACAGTTCTGGGTCTCTGCATATGGAAACAACCTCAGACACTTTTGTTAGTGTTCCAGACACTGTTGCTCCACCCATTTTTATGATGTGATGGCATAATGATGTCATTACACACCGACTTCAGGATCCTAACATACTGTGACAACTGTAATAGAAATACTTGGGGGTTAGTTTCAGCATTGACCCAACACATTGTGCTACATGGCACCAGGTTCTGCCAGGATCTATCACAGCAACCTGGTACCTCAACACTGCTAATCTCTTAACCTGAATTTTTCCAGGAGTACCTCCACCATCAGCCAAGCATTGGATGGTTTGATAATTAGTTAACCCAATGTAAATCACAGGGTATAAATAAAGCACAACATTTACCTAACAAAGAAGAGTGAGAACACAAAATAAGTACCGTGGACCCCAAGGGAAACTTAAGGAAATGGCAGGGAAGCCAGTTTAAACTGGTCTGGAAGACCTCGCTGCAACAATAGGACATCACACTGCTGGTAAAAGGCGGGGATGTGGAGAGAAATGAACACAAAATTGATACTCTGTACATTTTAATTAAAGTACCGTATATACTCGAGTATAAGACGAGTTTTTCGGCACATTTTTTGTGCTGAAAACTCCCCCCTCTTCTTATACTCGAGTCACTGTCTGTATTATGGCAACTTATATTGCCATAATACAGACTAGGACCGCCGGGCTCAGTACAAGCCCGGCGGTCCTGTTGGGGGCTGGCAGAGAGCTGTAACCTACCTTTCCTGCAGCTCCTGTCAGCGTGGCAACGCTCCGCGCGGCACTCAGACCGCAAGATTTACAGTGGCTGACGGGAGCTGACCAGACCGGAGGAGAGAGAAGGGAGCTGCAGGAAAGGTAACAACTCTCTGCCAACCCTCCTCCTACACAGCCAATGCTACTGGACCACCCGGGAATGAGAGCCCCCTCCCTGGCCAGCTACCAAGCAGGGAAGGGGGACGAATAAAAATAAATACAAAAATTAAATACAATAAAAATATTTAATAATATATAAAAAAATAATAAAAATTCCCACCCCCCACCAAGGCTCTGCATCACATACACTGCATTCATACACACATGCAGCATTATATACACACGCACACTGTAAATAAATATTCAATTAATATAATTTTTTTGGGATATAATTTTATTTAGAAATTTACCAGTAGCTGCTGCATTTCCCACCCTAGTCTTCTACTCGGGTCAATAAGTTTTCCCAGTTTTTTGGGGTAAAATTAGGGGTCTCGACTAATATTCGGGTCGACTTATACTCGAGTATATACGGTAATTAATGAGAAATCAAAATAACTTATAGCAAGCATCGCCCTATACCATAACCGCCAATTTTGGTTCAGCCCAAACAATTGTTGGTTTTATAGTACAAAATGAGGCTTGAACCGCAATTGACCCAGAGGAGTACCTGATCAAACAAAGGGCAAGAGTAAACAAATTGTTCCTCAAATTTTGCCATGTAAAGATTACCGTTTGAGGGTGCTGCATTGTCTCTCATTGTTGTACCTTAGATCTGTAGGTAGAATTTCCCTTCAAACACAAAGTAATTCCAATGTAGAACAAATTGTAATAATTCATTCAAAAATTGAATCGATTGTCTCCTCTCCCTTTTGGAGTATCTTCTGAGAAGTTGGTTTGCGTCCCCTGTTCCAACTTCTCCCGATTTTCCTGCATCTATTTATTTATTACTGCTATTTATAAAGCGCCAACAGATTCCGCAGCGCTGTACAATTAGTGGCGAAATGTACAATATACACAGACAAATACAAGAGGTAGAGAGAGCCGTGCCCGTTAGCTGATATCTAGCCATTGGAGCTCTTTTATACAAAGTGCTTGACTAGATGGCAGGTTGTTGACGTAAAAACATCCATCTCCAATTGAACAATTAAATCAGAGGAGATTTCACTATCATTGCCTTGCTTCTTAGCCTGAGGTTGTCCTACAGGATGTCCCTTTTTTTGAATTTTATAATCTGTATGATTGCCAATCATACTTTTTTTTTTTTATCCAAATAACCGATCATATCTATTTTCATTTGGCAAATTTTCTGTTCAGAGATGTTTAGATAAAATTATAATTTCCTCTATACGTTTCCTTAATAAATCAGGGGTTTCTATGTTCTGTTTCCTAATCTTAGTGATTCCAATCTCTTGCTTAAGGTCCACCACTTCCAGTACTTTCAATGGTCAGTGCTATTGGCTCCAAACTGCACTTATTCAAGATCGCTTTCGATATGTCCTCAAAGTTCTGTTTATTACTACAAAAAGGGGGCTGGATAACTAGTCTCATCCCACATGTAAGAGAGAATCTCTTTACAGTGTAAATTTTCAGCTCTTTGGTATTACACCATCTTTGGGAAAAAGAGGCACCTTCAGTAGAGCCACGGTTGTCTTTAATACTAATTGGACCATGGGCAAGCATTTTCTTGGGCCCTCTGGACTCTGCCGGTCTCCCTGTCTTTACTATATTACCCTATGTATGGTTTCTTTCTGTTTCCTTTACATGTAATACTCCTTGGGGATTGCTGGCAATATATTTGCTGATTGTATAATTGTATGTGTAAAAGCATACCTGCTTCATATAACTTATATATGTGAGTGTGATGATTTTTTGTGTAGGTGTACAATTATAGTTGGCACTGTAACACACTTTAAGAGTTTTTTTTCTGCACGGTTCACTTTACAATTTTGTGCTTAGCACAGTATTATTGCACAGTTTTATAATATATACACTTTGGTATACAAAGAGTGACTAAAGTTTTTATACAATTTTTATATATATTTTTGTGTTAATAATTTGTCATAAAGACATAGCACACTTTGTTTTACATACGGATGCACGTACGGACAAATAGATACACATACACGTAAGCAGATACCGGAAGTGAGTTAATCACGCGGTCGTCCGCAACGCTTGGCCATGTTGGGATGGGCACTGCACAGATTGGCACATAGAAACCAGCGGTTGTCGTCCATATCAGATGTGTCAAAGAAAAAACGGAACTTCCATATAAGGACAAGATGGGTGGGATTTTTGTAAAGTTGTGTCGTGTGTTTTATTTGTATTAATTATATATGATTTATCTGTCGATGGTATTTACCTGTTAGATATTGCACCTGAGGAAGACCAAGTTTGATTGGTTGAAACGTGTTGTGCTACATTTTTATTGTAATAAAGAGCTACTTTACACTTTATACTTGGTTCCTGTAACTCACATCCAGAAGAATATTGCTGCTTTTCTGGGTGACCTGCATTGTTTCCAGCACCAATAGTGGATGTTTCTACATGCCATCATAGTTTAGAGCCGACTTACATGGCTCTAAATATTGTGAGTGCTCTAATTTACTTTCTATTATATACTTTGCATTTTCATACTACCCTATGATGTTTTTTTATGATTGTACCTTACAGATATAATAATCTATAACTACAATATACCATTGTGTGTGCAACCGCCGTTATTTCTGTGCTCATTCATTTATGTGTTTTTTGGTGACCAAACACTGGGGTGTGTTTAGACGCACTGGGATATATTATTTACTTTCATACGTCTTATTGGAGTTTAACCCCTTAAGGACCAAACTTCTGGAATAAAAGGGAATCATGACATGTCAGACATGTCAGACATGTCAGACATGTCATGTGTCCTTAAGGGGTTAAGCGCCACTTATCCTTTTTGTGTTTAGACTTTTGCCTGAGGGGCAATTATCAGCCGTAATAACATGCCACATTATAAACTATGGGTCAAATGCCTGTTGGCACGCGTGGTTAAGATAAAGAGGGATAAAGCAGTATATTACTTATGGTATGTCATCTTGAGGAGCCATATAGAAAGGAAGAAATATTACAAATAAACATATAAAGACTTGCGATAAAAGAACATTGACAGGTTCAGTGGGCATATCGCCAGCCTGTAAGGTGGCACTTCTTGGCACGAAGGGTGTGATCCTGTCCACAAACCATAATGGTTGATTCCTCGCCTGTACGGGCCCATTTGGCAGCCCCATCTCTTAAAGAACAGGGGGTGCCTTGAAAGGGTGAGAAATATGGTAGATCTTGCCGCCTTTCTTTACTGAGGGCCTACAAAGGCCCCATTTGTGTGGGATCTTGTGCTCCCAGAGCAGTTGAGTGGTCTGTCGGAGAGACTGCTGCCACCTAATGGTGTGTCTAGACAAATCCTTGTAAAACCCAAGTTGATTTCCTTCAAAGGACAAATATTGGGCCTCCCTGGCTGTACCCATAAGCGCCCCCCCCCCCCCATCAGTGTCCCACACCAATTTAATCAGGACATCCTGTGTGACATCTGGATAACCATCTTAGCAGAACTGTAGATATGAGCCTTTTGATATAATATAGGCCCTGATCCATAAATTCCAGGCCTTAGACCTATCCTCCATGTTTCCCATACGGTTGGTCAGGTCTGCACAGCGGTTCTGTAGCTGCATCTGTGGCTGTTTGAGCAATTTTCACACTTCCCAAATCTACCTCCACTGCTACTGTTCTGTTAGTGAGAACTGCCACCTCCTCCTGCACCACCGACACATACGACTGGAACATAGCTCGGATCTCTTGTAGTAATGCCTTTATGTCAGCCTTAGTGGAGGGTGCTGCATCCCCTGTTGCAGATGCCCCCTGTTTTGCCACTGGTACCTGGGGGAAGGTGAGTATGGTGAAGGGTATGCTGTCTCATCCGAGGATTCCGGAGTGTTGGCGGGCATGGATGCCATCTTTGTATTCTGCTCTATTTTTTTAGGAAGCGACATTTACTAATGTGCCTCTGTTATATTTTCTTTATATAATTTTTTTCTATATTTACCTCTTTTTGTAGTAATCTGCTGTTCAGTGCTCTTTACTGCTATTGTATTTGCACTACACTGTCACTTTAAGATGTGTTGGGAGCATTCGCTATGTTTAGTGTTAATATTCAGCAGTTTTTCAGTTAACCACGGTGTTAAAAAAGTTGTATGTTGAAGGTTCGTACTTACCTATGATTATGTGCTTAGAGTAGCACGAAATGCATTAGGTGGAGATGGAGGGTCCCCTGTGTATATCTTTTTTTTGTATCTAATAAAGAGATTTATTCTGTTTGAGCAAGATGCTGTATGGATATGGCATACGGTTTTGTTAATCTTCTACATAGTTTCTCTTGCCTCGGCTGATTTATTCCCTACCAGGGATCAATATTTACTCACTACAACAGGCTACAGTGCTTTATGTGTTTGGAATATTCCAAGGAACGCTACAATCACCTAACCACTACAGCATGCTGATAGCTCTCGGCCAATGAATAATGCCCAAACATGGCATAAGCTTTTATGATTATGCAGAACTATGAACTCCTAGTAAAACCTGCAAAGACACTAAGAGCGACAGTTCTACTTTAGAGGACATGACAAATGAATTCTGTCTACATATGAGGTTGTCGTATAGATCCACTGTGTTTTTGCTGCCTTGGTATGTGAGCTATTGCGTATGAAGGAGCATGTTTTATTATGTGACATTTAACAAAAATTAACATATATTTCTAATACATGTTCTACTGCATTATATCAAATAGAGAACCAAATGAGGAATATAAATGCATACAGTATCTATAACGGAAAGGTATATCCATATAACATAACTAATATGAAATAGCATTTTTATGAAAACAGTTAAGTTATGAATGATACAAAAGGGAACACTTACATTCTGAATGTGTCAAGCGTATATTGATACTTTTGGAGACAAAATAATCCATCTAAACGACGTGCAATATAGTTTTATTTGTATTTTATTAAATATAATTTGTTTTATTCATATATGAAGACTAAGATAAGATTTTCTAAATTTACTTTGCTCTCTTTTATTATGCTCTAATATGTTTTTATGTTAATTGATTTGTCACATGATCTGACATCATCTGACCGTTTTATTTACATTTCAGAGCTATTTAAACAGTGAAGTTCCTCCGCACTGTAACACTTTGAAAACGCCTTTAAACAGTTGAAATGCGTTAGTGTGTTAATATTTTAACCCCTTAAGGACTGAGCCAAATGTACACGTTGTGATCAAAACAAAATGTAAACAAAACTTGCGCTATATGTCTTCAGGCGTAATTCGCCTATTTCACTGTGCACTCACACTTATTATATATCATTTTATTCAGGGGCTTTCATTTAACATCAAATATTTAGGTATGGAACATAATTTAATATGAATAACAAAAAAAATGAGAGAAAATAAGAATTTTAAATTATTTTTTAGTTCTACATGACATTTTAACTGTGAATGTGATAATACGGTTTGCTTTTACTGCAATAAAATACACATATTTGTATTCAGCGACGTCTCACGTGTAAAACAGTACCCCCTATGTACAGGTTTTATGGTGTTTTGTGAAGTTACAGGGTCAAATATAGCATGTTACATTTTTCAGTTTTTTCACACTGAAATTCGCCAGATTGATTACACTGCCTTTGAGACCATATGGCAGCCCAGGAATGAGAATTACCCCCATGATGGCATACCATTTGCAAAAGTAAACAACCCAAGGTATTGCAAATGGGGTATGTCCAGTCTTTTTTAGTAGCCACTTGGTTACAAACACTGGCCAAAGTTAGTGTTAATATTTGTTTGTGTGTGAAAAATGCAAAAAACTAATTTGAACGCCAATTTTTGCCAGTGTTTGTGACTAAGTGGGTTGTCTACTATTGCAAATGGTATGCCATCATTTGGGTAATTTTCCTTCCTGGGCTACCATAGTCACAAAGGCAACTTAACCAATCTGGCCAATGTGAAAAAACACACCTTATATTTGACTCTGTAACTTTTGAAAACACCATAAAACCTGTACATGAGGGGTACCGTTATACTCAGGAGACTTCGCTGAACACAAATATTAGTGTTTCAAAACAGTAAAATGTATCACAACAATTGTATTGTCTGTGTAAGTGCCATTTGCGTGTGAAAAATGCAAAAAATTTCACTTTCACTGACGATATCATCGTTGTAATAAATTTTACTGTTTTGAAACAGGTCCCACAAATTGTAATTAATAAAATGACCTAATTATGTAAAATTATTACATAAATATATACGTAGAATTATTACATATATATGTATATAATTTTTTTAAGTATTTGTATTTATATATAGTGATATATACTTATGTATATAGATATATATATTATTTCGTTCTTTATGTATTTTGATATCTATATATATTAATTTTATAATACAGTTAGAAGGAATTTACACATAGATTTTTTTTATTTTGTAACGTTTAACGTTTTTACATTTATTTAATATTATATATAAATATATATATAATGATAATTATATATATTTAATCAATATTATTCTACGTGTATTTTGATATTAATATATATATATATTAATATTAAAATACACTTAGCAGTGTATGTGTATATATACAGGGAGTGCAGAATTATTAGGCAAGTTGTATTTTTGAGGATTAATTTTATTATTGAACAACAACCATGTTCTCAATGAACCCAAAAAACTCATTAATATCAAAGCTGAATATTTTTGGAAG